GATAATCACATTTTACGTTCTCCAATTGGCTAATTTCCCACAAATAAGTGCACGCCACAATGGTGTCGGTATGGAAAATTGAGCAGTCTCCTTTCCCATAGCGATAGGGATATACAGTATGTAATAATTTATCAACGATTAGTGAAGTTCTTGATATCTACAGTATATATAAATAATAACAATAACCGCATCAAAAAAGTAACCCTAATCCGTACCCATCCCTGGAAAATGTATGGGGAAATTAATTAGCCAATCTGACAAAACAATATAAAATTACACGTCATTAACTTTGTATTTCACGCAACTTTGTATTTTTATTGTAAAAACGAAAACAGAAGAATGTCTTTGCTGTAAAAAAAATATCTCTGTCATAAAAACAAAAATAAGAATATTTTCGCCATAAAAACAAAAATAAGAATATTTTTACTGTAAAAACAAAAATAAAAAGAAGAGTATCTCTGCCGTAAAAAACAAAATAAAAGAAGGATCTGTAGGTCGATAGTATAGTGGTTGCACTCCTGGATTTTCTGTAAAAAATTTTTTCCAAATATTTTCGTTATTTTTTTGTGAAAACTCTGTGAAACTGCAATATAATCAACAGAATCTAGACAAGCTGAATAATCTCAATGATTTAAGGTTATAAATTCTGTGAATATGCAACATTTATGGACAAAACACAGAATATAAAACACAGATCAACTTTTTTATAGAGGTCTCCAATCACAAGGTAAACACGAAATAAGGACACCTCCGGTGAAACTCCGGTCGAAAAACAAGAAAACTCTAGGGAAAAGACAGTTTCAGTAAATTCCCTGGGTCATCTGGTAAAATCCGGTTGTAAAAAAAAAAAAAAATAAATAAAATAAAAAAATATCTTCACCTTAAAAACAAAAATAAAAAAATATCTCTGTTATAGAAACAAAAATGATAAAAGAAAAAAATGGCACAAAGATAGCAAAAATATACTTCATATAACAGAAATTTTCTCTAAAGAAAATAAGAATGAAACATTCTTGGTAGCTACAAAAGAATATTTCTAGTACTCTTAAGTGGTCAATTTGTACACAGGATGGATCGTCCTCGTATACTTATTAGGGCTGACCCAAAAACCGGCCAAAAATACACGATCTACCAACATCTCGTTAAGCAACATCAAAAAAAAATGTAGAGAATTCAGCCTATGATCAATGGGTATCCCCCGAGAGTTATCGTATGAGGCAAGCAGAAGCTGCTGCCTCAAGTAACACCGGGTCTATGGGATTAAACCTCCAACGTATTCGTGACATTTCAAAAAAAAACTACATCTTTTACAATGATTATGAAACTTTGAATGCTAATATCACACCAGAGTATAACAAAGATGGTTCATCCTTCGAAGGTTACAACCCTGACTTAAATTGGGCTATTAAAATGTCTAAGAAAATAGCTCAAAAACAGAAAAGAAAGAAACATGATCGCTCTTGACAAAAATCTTTGAATCTTGCTCGCAAATACTGGAAGATTTATAACCTCTCCAAGTCGAATGGTAAAAAAAAGACTCCTGTTCAAAGAGTTCAACAAGTTATTCGTTGTGCGCTTGATAAGAAGATCCAACTCCCCTTTGTCATAAACTCACTTATTCCTCTATTAAATGTTTCAAAAAAACAACTCACTTTCGTTAATCAAAAGAAAAACTCAAAAACAACAAAAAAAATAAAATAATCAAGTTCTTTTTTTTTTAGAATCTTCTTGTGAAGCGAGAAGTTATCATCTTTAAAACCTGTTGCAAAAGTAATTACCGTTCGATTAATATAGTCGTCAGCACTACAAAAATTTTCTTTTGTGGTGTTTTGTGAGACTACCTGAGTTATATCTCCAGGGTTATATCCCAACCTGAGTTATATACCCATATTTAAGCAGGATAAATTTTCTCTTTTTTATATGTTGTTATATATTTTATATATTGAGTTATATCCCTAACTTAATTATATCTCCAAAAATGCTCTGGAAAAAAGTGGGATATAACCCAGGGTATGACGTATGATAAAATTTTGGATTTAAAAGCCGTTATATGCCTAATTCATTATATATACGTGTCCATTATATCCATATTTGAATATAATTTATTCAAGAATTATTTTATCATGAAATTTTCTTGGCAATTAGAACTGCAGTTAGATTTATTAATGGCAAATACATTTAGAAATCTTAATATCATCTTAAAGTTTACAGTATAAATTTTGACAGCCGTAGTTTGATTAGTAGTAAATGCGAAAATTCAGATACTTTGTCGGGAAATTTCATGCTCATTTAAATTTTAAAACCCGATATATTTTCTCGCATAAAAGTGATTTGCCATGTTAAGGTCAATGCACTTTTAATAATTCTCATTTGGGATATTCCGTCCTGGATCAACAAGATGCATAATAACCAAAAAAGATCAAAATAATTGGTTTTTTTAAACTATTTTTTGGTAAGTAATTAAACGTCATCCTGAATACAATTTGTCCATTTATTAGTTTTAATTTAGTTTGTAAAAAATTCGGATGAGTTTCTCCCCGAAAAATGAATTTTTTTGATGTGAAACATTTAATTTTTCAAGGATCCATGCGTACTTAGATCATCATGTCACATGTTAATTAAATAAACGACGAATGCATTACGTACGTACGTATCTAATATCTGCAAATTTTAGTACTCTTATGTCAAGAAAATTCTGTGTTGCCGACCAAAAAAGTATGGGTCCGTAGTATCTCAAAAATTCTCTATATATCTGTCGGAAGTTAGTTGCTATAATAAATTTTGGTGTTATTTACAATTTCTTATGTTTTTCACGTTTGTTTTGTTATACAAGATCCTGTAATTTTATTGGATCCGGATCAAGAATTTGACATACCGTACCTCCTGTTGTGGATGTTTCAATGTCGCATATTATAGCGTAACAATACAGAATAGCTGTCACATAAAAAAAAAAGTGATGCTGGAATGCACCATTAAATTATCCGCATAACCCGACAGGGGTCGTCGGATATATAAAAATTTGTAATTTTAATTAAGCAATGGAATTGGTTAATTCAGTTTTTTTTTTTTTTTAACCGGAAAAATTTTTAGATAATCTGATACGTACATTTGTTATGTATATGATATATATAATAATAGTAATATAAACTTTGATAGACTAAGTTACAAAATTATTTAAAATCGAAATAATCATTATTTTTATGAAACACTTTCCTCTAACAAAAAATTTTTCATACGTATCACTTATGATTTATTGTTGCCTTATTAGATCTTTACTCAAGTCCAACCTAAACTAATATAAGCTGGTTTGGATTTTTTTTTTTTTTGAATTCTATTATTATTCTTGTTATGCATTATAATGCATCTACCGCTACCAAACAAATCTTTATGTATGCTATATGTATAATTTTTTTTTTATGCTTCCGAAATAATTATGGGTTGCAATTTTCAGTCTAACCAGGAGTAATTACCATGGGTTGCAATTTTCAGCAATCAGGAGTAATTACCATGCCACTCCTTTTGCATGCTTTATTTCAAAAGCATACAAGAAAAATAGTTATTAATTTGTTAAATTAAAATTATAACATAAACTTTTAAAAGATAACCACGAGAACCATATTTAATTACTCGAGTATGTACTGTACATAGTGTTGTTATGCCTATTTTTATATAATTTATTTTGTATATAGCGACGAATTTTCAGATTTGTATTACAAATATCTATATTGTATGTTTGCTAAAGTAAATAAACATCAGAATATATGCTATACAAATTACGGTTTCGCACATAAAGGGAAAGGTCAAATTCGATCTAAGTGCGATTTTCCTTGAATATTTATGAATGTAACAAATTTATTATGGGGAAGTTTGTTTGGCCGAAAATGGTAAAGTCAAATTTCTCCACTTAAGCAAATTTTCTCCAAAAAAATATATGATTTGTTATATATTAAATATGTATTATATAACATATTACATAAAATATAATAGTAACTATTATGTAACCTTGTACACTCGTCTAAAGACTGGCCGAAACTTTAAATCTTGTAGATCACTAGATAGACGATGAATTTCTATTATTAATGTTAAGCTGGTTATCGTTATCTTTATAGTAAATATTCAAATTTAAGCGAGATCTGCTGAATTACATTTCTATATATATACTAAATATTGAAATAATTGGTTTAATTATTGAATCTAGTGTGAAATCAAATGTATAATATAGAATTCTATATATTAAAAAATCCATGTAACAATGGCAACGTCTAAATTAACAAAACGGATATGAAACTTGAATATCTTTGCTCATCTGCTCTGGTGTGTTATTTCTATTGGATAGCAGGAATATCACATGTTAATTAGTTTTCACTGTAACCAATAGTAAAAGTGTGAATACGAGGAAGTAGTTGCAAAATTAGTAAATTCCTTAAATTTGATCGTTTTATTAATTTCCGATTACTATAAATTACTATATAGTAAAAAATTTTCATACTTATACTGTAGTTGTTTTTTTTTCAAAAAAAATCTTTTTTTTATTTCAATTTTGCGAAATCACTTCCCTACGATTGTTTTCATTCCATATACATATTTGGATCATTTAATTTCATCATGAGCAATGATTCAAATTATTCCATGAACCTCAGAGACCACCCTGGTTTTTATATTATCATACCAGCCAGCTTAATTTCCTATATTCCGAATGGCATTTGCCTAATCTACCTTATCACAAGGATATTAAATCGATGGTGGGTGACTGAAAGAGCCCTATCGATGGCTCATAGGGTACCATTTTATATGTCAATTGTCGGTATGTTCTTCATCTTTTACATTTAAATATTTTAAATATACTAGTATTACTTAAAATTATCGATTTTTTTTCATTACTAAATTCAAATAAATTAAATAATTTAAATAAATTAAATAATTTAAATAAATTAAATAATTTAGAATTCAATTTATTTATAATAAATCTAATTAATATAGTA